ATAAGAAAGGGGAAGGCTCTGTCCTTTGCTAATTTCATCTACAGGCTGTCTCCAAAGTGGACCTTCCATTGACCATTTGGCTGGTAAAGGCTGCAGATCTTCAGCTGTGAAAGGTATTTTACCCTCTGGGCATCCATTACTTTTATTATTTGTTCTGTATGTCTGCAGACACATTATAAAAATGTCAACAGTAAATAAATATTATTTTAAAAACCCAGAAGCCCCCTTTTAACTCTAGTATTGCCGAGTAGGTCTGACAGCTAAAAATGGTCATTAGTAAATACAACTCATTAAGCAGAATCTACTGATTTCCGAGCTTGTATTTTTACCTCTGAACTGGTGTGTGTGCAAAACTGTTAAATTCAAGGGAGATAACTGTAGCCGCCCATTATCGCCAGTACAAGAGATGGTTTAGTGGTATCCCTAGGCTGTAATTGGAGTACCTGTGGAATAAAAAGGTGGAATAAAAACCTCTCTGTATTAATTACAATTGGTGATGAGCAGGCCAAGGCAATATACAGGACAATATTGTCTTTTGTTGTGTGAATTCATACAGTGACACACAAACGCAATTGTTGATCACAGATACAGTTACTGTACATATTGTTAAAGGGAGTAAGGTGCAGAATGCTGACCCAGTTTAAATCATAGCATTATCAGCCAGGCTTGGATAATCTTGTAATAATTTCCAAAGCATTTTTCCCCTTTTATGTAAGTGACATGTGATGTGGAGGGTTATATTACTTAATTTACATAGTTGTAAACTGATAGCAGCAGTTCAAGAAAAATATCATTTCTTTGCTGGAATCTATTGTAAAGTGGATTCAAAATAAAATTGAATACACCTGTTAAGGCAGATTATATATTAACATGGCATTGGGCCATTTTACAAATCGAGAGTATTCATACCGTGATTTGGCTGATTTTTAAATACAAAAGAAATTGCTACAGGCCTTAAAATAGATTTAGTCTGGGTCGTACAACCAAGTTTTTGGAGGACAGAAATTTAACAGCAATTTTCTTATGGGTCTGTTACCGAGTTGCACATTTAATTGTTGCCACTTATACATTAACCAATCTAAGATCATCCGTAGATGCAATGATGGTTTAAGTTGCTCATAAAGATGAAGACAATTCAGTAGAGCGACCCTTGATATGACTGCATTTCCCCAGGTATCACAGAGACAGACCATCTCCCAATTTATACAACTCTCTGTACAGCTCATGCACAGAGAACCAATGACTTCATGTACCATGTGAAAGGAGAGTTTGGTTGTTGAAGATGTTCTAGCAGATGGTATATCTGGATTTCGCTAAGGCTTTTGATACTGTACCCCATAAATGCTTACTATACAAGCTGAGAGCTATGGGCATAGGAACGAGTACAGAGAGTATCAATAAATGGCGCCCTTTCAGACTGGGCTAGTGTCATTAGCGTGGGCTGAAAATCTCGGCTTATACTCGAGTATATACGGTAATAGTGTGGAATCATTCAAGAAGCTTTTGGACGATTTCCTGAGAAACGGTAATATACAGGGGTACAAGTACTCCTAATAACGAGATGACTCAAGGACCTATACACACACACACACAATAGGTTGGACTTGATGGACACGTGTCTTTATTCAACCTCAAATACTATGTAACTATGTAACTTGCACTTGAACCCAAACTGGCCTTACACTAATATATCTGTCGTTTCTCCTGCCGGCTGAATGAAAGAAATCAAACAGATTTCTCCTTCCACACTAAACAGCGTGGATGGGGAACCTCCACCCTTCCACAGGGCCATATTATTCTGGAAACTGGTGCCTTCTGCTGTCGGAATACCCATATAGACTGCATCTGATTGGCTGCAGTCAATATTTAGCGAGCAATTCTTGACAAGGCTCTTCCAACAAAAGTTGATTGAGTAATCTGTTTTTGTTGAGCCAGCAGGGTCACCTTCTTTTTAGAATTTTGGCCGATTTCTGTGAATTAGCTGACACTCTACCAGTGTATGGCCAGATTTACATAAACGTCCCACTATGGCCTGCTAAACTTGATATTCTTTACATTTTTTTTGTGAGCTATGTTTCTACATACACTTACTGCTTGGTAGTATTGTGAGATGACTGTGTTTCTCTGTTCTTTCTTCTAGTCTGGATAGACTGATTTAAAATCAATAGGTGACTTAGCCTGTTATCTCAAACACTGTTCAGAAGGGAGTTTCAGTATTGTGTGACATACAGTTTTGCTACTAGAGGGCGAATCTACTAATATACCCTGTTTCCCTGAAAATAAGACCTACCCCGAAATTAAGACCTAGTACCATTTTTGGGAATTGCTAAAATATAAGACCTACCCCGAAAATAAGACCTGGTTGCGACCTTTCACAAGGCTGGTGGTGGGGAACTTGAAGCTCAGCGGGAGAGAATCAGCGGTGCCAACGAAGCCAGCGATAGAGGAAGCGAGGCGGCAGCGGAGGGAGCAGAGCCGCATAAGCCGATGTTTCCTCTATAGCGCCGGCTCCTGTCACAGGCGGCGTGATACCAAATGCACTCAGCCTGTGAGGAATCCATAGTGAATGCGCGCTTCGCTCATTCTGGTTACCAAAATATAAAAAGGTATGGCACCCCTGATTGCCCTGATCACCCTATTCTTAACTTTGCCATTTTGAATTATTTAATTTGGATTTGCATTAACTTTGGACTGTAGTACATTAAAAAACAAATAAGACCTACCCCGAAAATAAGACCTAGTGTGTGAGCCAGAAAAAATACAAGACAGTGTCTTATTTTCGGGGAAACACGGTAGAAGATCATGAAAACATGGAACAGCAAGCATGCACACATCAGTCACATAGAAAACATAATGTATTTCCATCCAAAACTTGTTTTATTTTTGGATAGAGAGAGAGGAAGAACTGGAATCCCTCTCCTCGAGCAGGCAGTGGTCAGGTGAATTAGCCAGCCTGCTATTGGCTAATGCGATTTGAAATGGCCAATAGCAGGCTGGCTATTGCGCCCAGCTAATGCCTGCTGTGTTTACATTCAGCTGCCTCAGCAGGCAGCTTTCATTCCCAGCTAAAGTTATTAAAGTGGGAAGGTGACAATAGGGGTCTAATAAACCCCTAGTGTCACCTTAAAGACAACTTGTCATCTCCAGTGTTTTTGAGCCCCCACGTGATGGCAATGATGGTAAGTTTAAAAAAAAAAATTAAATAAAATTAAAAATACCCCCCAAAAAATGTAAGTACCCAGCCCCCGCAAACACGTGCATACTAACAGAAACAGTACAAACAGCAAAAAGTTTTCCCAGCACACTCACAACATGCAAAAAAAAACTTGTCTCACAGCTAAGGTTAAAAACAGGTTTAGATGCACGTCTTCTGCAGAAAATGTGAAAGCCGCATCAAGGACACCTCTAAATAGTGCGGTCCTAACTAAACTATTAGAGTCTCCATCTTGGAGCACATATGGCAAAAGATCAAATTGGGTGCAGGTTTGTCAGGAGGAAGCCCAGCCTCCCTTAAAGGCACAGGGACACACAAGGGATCCCGCACATCACATGTTTTTTTGCATGCTGGCTGGTGAGTGTGCTGGGAAAACCTTTTGCTGTTTGTGCTGTATTAGGCCCTTCCATGTGCACTTTGCTGTAAAGCTGGTAACAAATTGATGAGTGCATTTGCAATCTGTTTTGCTTGACTGATTTGGTGCAGTGATGCATGGGGGGTCTCAGCTGCCTTGTGATGTGCGGGATCCCTGCACCCAATTTGATCTTTTGCTACATGTGCTCCAAGATGGAGACTCTCATAGTTTAGAGTTAGGACCACACTATTTAGAGGTGCCTTGACATGGCTGTGCGGCTTTCACATTTTCTGCAGAAGACGTGTATCTAAACCTCGGTTTTTAACCTTGGCGGTGAGACAAGTTTTTTTTTTTGCATTCTGGCTTGTGAGCGTGCTGGGAAAACTTTTTTTTGCTGTTTGTACTGTATTAGGCCCTTCTATGTGCACCTTGCTGTAAAGCTGGTAACAAATTGATGAGTGTATTTGCCATTTGTTTTGCTGTACTAACAGAAACAGGTGCACCTACGTAAAAAATAAACACGTTTGCGCTACACATGTCGGGTATCGCAGCGTCTGCCAATTAAAACTGCAATTGAAAATTAGAACCTGAATCCTAAGGTATGGTTAGAGTTTTTGTTAGGGTGAATATGCTACTATTGACAATCTGGATTCAGAGATTATGGTAGGGATACATGTTTGTTATGGTGAATATTCTACTATAGAACATCTGGATTCAGAGATTGTGGTAGGGATACATGTTTCTTATGGTGAATATTCTACTATAGAAGAACTGGATTCAGAGATTATGGTAGGGATACATGTTTGTTATGGTGAATATTCTACTACAGAAGAACTGGATTCAGAGATTATGGTAGGGATACGTGTTTGTTATGGTGAATATTCTACTACAGAAGAACTGGATTCAGAGGTTATGGTAGGGATACAAATTTGTTATGGTGAATATTCTACTATAGAAGAACTGGATTCAAAGATTATGGTAGGGATACATGTCTGTTAGGGTGAATATTCTACTCTAGAAGATCTGGATTCATACATTTTGTTATGGATACATGTTTGTTAGGGTAAATATTCTACTATAGAAGATCTGGATTCAGACGTTATAGTAGGGATACATGTTAAAGGCCTGACCTTGATCAAGAAAACTCTTGGTAATGTGGCTTGGCTAACCTCTCTTTGTTGTGTGACAGAAGGGAAGCCACTTTCTATATGAGGCTAGGAGAAGGATTCTCCCTGAGGGCAAGTGCAGGCTGCAGTGCATGTGTGTATATGACGTGGGCCTCTCTTTACATCATACAAGACGAGAGGGGGGGACAGGCACTATAGGCTGGGATGAGCACACACTGATCCTGGCAGCGATTCAGCCTTAGATTCCCCCCACCCCTCGCCACCACATCCCTCAACCCCCTCCCTTCTTCCCCGCTGCGCCTGTGCTAGCTAACAATGCAGCACAATAACCAAGGCAGCCAGCTCTCAAAGAGCTGCTATGAAGTGAGAGCAAAGAAGGCAGCGGGCGAGAGGTGAGCTGGTAATAGTAGTTAAGCTTGTTTGCTTTGTTTGGGGGCTTTGGCATGATTGCAGATTTGGCAGATTTTCCAGATGTACAGAATATACATCATTAGCTCCTGTTATCAGGGCAAGACCCTGTCTGCTGTAAAGTCTCAGCTATCGGCAGATGTTGCTCTACCAACTTGATGTATATTTGTGTTGTGTTGGCAATGGTTATCGAGCTGTCTTGTAGCCTATATGCATCATTTTATATGCATCATTTTATATGCTTATTTCTGCCATGTGATGAAACTGTAGTTATAAATTCTAACATAGCATTGTTCGTTTATCATTAGTGAACGTTGCAGTTTCTCTCTGTGTTGTGCAGATAAGATAGCGGAGTATGGTGGCTTACCAGCAACTTCCAAGTTTGATATCTGATATACAGAATTTCCCATTTATCAGGCCGGTATGATGTACAAAGCAACCTTTAATTGTGGAGAAACAAGTTAATAGAAAGCATGAGGTTTCTGCTTCTCCTCCACTACATTTTTGCAATAGTGGTCACTTTCCTAAGTTGAATATGTAACTAAACAGTGCTACTCCCAGTGCTTTTTATATTCCTTGTAGTATTTATGGTGGGTATGTGTATGTCAGGATGTCAATGTGATGCTGAACTAGAGCTAGTCTGTGTACCTGCAAAAGATATCCCAGAATTCTGCTTTGATTTCACAGTTTTTCCTGCTCGGTCCAATCCAGGAGCTACAAGGATTTTTTGGAGCCGGCTCCACTGACAACAACCAGAGAAAACTTCAAAAGTTAGGTGCTAGCTGTAATTTTTAGCATTTGCTACCTGACTCCTGGGATTTTTCCAACCCTGACATATAGAGTTTGAGGACCTGTCTGTGATGTAGAAGTATAGAACGGCAGAGTCAAACAGAGCCTTGAGGTCTAACAGTACCTGGTAACAATAATTAGGTGTTCACTTGGTAACAAAGCTTGCTGTACAAGGTCATCCAAGCCTCTACCATGTATGTTTCAAATAATTTGTTACGGGATGTCCACAATATCCCAGAGACACATTTGACACGACAATTGTTTTAAAAATGAGAACAAAAAACTTTGTCTGCAGGGGGGTCACTGCCATAGCTGATCACTAGTCTGCAGTGACGGACAGATTAAATGGCTTTTAGTGGCATTATGATCATAGTGAGAACATGGCTGTTTTGAATAATCTTCTGCCATTTGAAAGGAAAGAGTTAACCTGGGGGTTTACTATAGGGCGACTGTGATCAGGCTGGGCATTTGTGCAGTAGTTAAGGACTGTGATATGATTGAGCTGCACATCTGTTGCAATGCTCTGCAAATCTGTGACAGTGATTTAATGTTTAAGCGATACGGTGATTATAATTACGCCAGCAGTAATGGTGTCACTGTATCGGTGCACTCGTTCATTTTCTGCCTTGCTGTACATTTGTACGATGCTCAAAAAGCTTTGATCCAGCAAGAAAACTTGTGCTTCTGAGATGCTGCTATTTCTGTGAATTGGATGCATAATGTTGCAGTTTCTGGTAACTGTGTTTGTGCCATAGTTTGTCAGTGAGTTCTGCAAATTATACTTTTTTTCACTTAGTTGTTCCAATAAAAGTCTAACTTGCAGCACCAGTGTCTGAGGAGACTGTAACCTTCACTAGTTCTGTGTCAGTTCTGTAAGGACACTGCAGTAAGCTTAGCCTTCATCTACATACCGTCCTTGACTCCCACTGTGCTTTTTGAGTGTTTTGTCTCTGCAAGTTTTGTCACTGCAGAATGTTGCTCTTTTTGATTCTTTTGCATAGTTTTTAATACAATATGACAAGGGAAGACAAATGAATATGGAATTTGGGAGATATGTGCAATCCAGTTGCCAGCAGGGTTTTTTTAGGAGCCAGCTAAATGGACCACAACTAGAGAAAACCCCAAGTTAGACACTAGCTGTCAATTTTAATTAGCATTGACCACCTGGCTCCTGGGATTAGTCCACCGCTGCATTAAAACCATATTTAGAAATGAAAAAATAAAATAAAATCTGGTTTAAACAAAACATATTTAGTTGATAAATATATATCTGCCTCTGTCTAAAATAGATTCCCAACACTGTCATTGTCAAAGAACACTGTTGACCACTGTGCCATGTGCAGTCATTTTTAGAGCATCTTCTGCAACATGTAGATCCAGGTTAGGACCACAGCATTTCAGTGATGCTGGCTTGTGACTTACAGGCTTACTGGACTGAAGTGCAAAGTGCAGGCACCCATACCAGAGAATTAACAGATAACTCAAATGAGCCTGTTAAATCTGAACTCTAGGCAGACATAAAAGACACAAATGCAAGCCTGTAATCATTAATACATCTTTAAATGTATGTTTTTTTTAACCTTTTCACTGCCAATGTGTTTTTTTGTTTTCTTTTTCACACGTTATAATCCACATTTTAGGCCTGAAAATTACTTAAACCCCCAAAACAATAAATATATATTCTGAAACCAAAGACCCTGTGGAATAAAATGGTGGGAGTTGCAAATTTATCGTTGCACAATATTAGAGCAACTCTTTATCAAACCCAAATTTTTAGTTAATGTTAGTGCCCAAAAACCAAATACCCTAATACCCTAATTTTGTAAAATATGAAAGATGGTTATGACAAGTAAATAGATACCCAACATGTCAAGGTTGAAAACTATGTGCATCCATGAAATAGAGACAAAGTACGGTACCCCAAATTGTCCATAGGTGAAGCTTTAAAAGCCGGTACAGGTCATCAGTTTAGAGATACCTAACATGTGTAGCGCAATCGTTGTTTTCATACGTAGGTGCACTCGACGCATCTTTTTTTTTTGCCCCCTGCCCATGTGATGGCATACTAGTGGTTACAAGTGCTCTTTAGGGTGACCTTAGAGGTCTATTAGAAGCTGTTGGAGTACAGATTGCACTACACCAGCCCCTTTAAGCTCACCTGCCAGAATCACTTCCGGTGTAAAGGTGACAGTTGGTTTTGCATGTGTAAACAGAGTCCCGTGTCTGTTTGAAGGGACCCACTGCCAGCGACGCATGACATATGTGGTTGGCAACGAACTGGTAAATATATGCTACATTTAAGCTGGCCATACACTGGTAACATTTTGGCCGAGTCATTCTGTGTGTGTGTAGACCTGTTGGGACCCCAGCACTGTTCAACAAAGCCGATCTTTCAATGGACTTTTGAAAGAGCGGGTCTGAAAAATCTGGGGCAAACAGTGAATGTAGTGACCGCTGATTGGGGGAAATTGAGAATAATGTTTTTCATTTAGCCCTCAGGGCTAAATGAGAAGCAACTCTGTGTATGGCCAACTTTACCCTTTCTTCTTTTGCTTGTTCAAATATATTTCTAATTTTCTTTTTTTACTCCTCAGTACTCTGAAATGATTTACTAGTCAGTACAAGTGTACCCGCATGTAAGGCTTGTGTCTGATTTGATATCATCTCCATGCTCTAATCCTAATTTTGTAATATATAACTTCCTGTTATATTTTCAACTGATATATTCAAATTTGTAACTTCCTGTTATATTTACAAATGATAAATGAAGGCCTGTTATTTTCATCAGTGTCCCTATAAAGATAAATAATTCTCAGGACCACCCATGAAGTAATTTGTTTCCAGACAAACAGTCTGCTTGCCAAAGTCAAATCACTGTCAATGTTTAGTGAATTGGTTTGATCAGTTGTCACAGCTTTTCCAGACACAGGGCAGTCTACACACGTTTATTTGCATCTAAGATATGGACAGAATTACTGTGTTATTATTCCATATCAGACTTTGTTTTCTATTGATGACTTCCTGAAACTTTGATTACAGCACACATTTTGTCGTGGCATGCTTTTGATAAGCTTATGTAATGTCACAACATTTATTTCCATCCAGAGTTGTATTACATTTTCACCAAGATCTCGTAGTGATAATGGGAGAGTAGGACCACTGCGTAAAGTCTTCTCCAGCACATCCCAAAGATTCTCAGTGGGATTAAAGTCTGGACTATGTGATGGCCAATCCATGTGTGAACATGATACCTCATGCTCCCTGAACCACTCTTTCAAAATTTGAGCCCAATTAATCCTGGCATTGTCATCTGGGAATATGCCGTGCCATCACGGAAGAAAAAAAATCCATTGATGGAAAAACCTGATCATTCACCTCATTTTTTGGGGGGAAATAACTTTGCTGAACCTAGACTTATTATCCAATGGAAGGCTCTTACCTATTTGCTTAGCTCAATCCAGATGGTGACTTTTTTTGGCCCTGCAGTGTATTTCCTTCTGTATACAGTATAGTCCTACATTACCGCAGACTCCACTGCCTCTCCAAAGCTCAGTTATGGCATCCACTACCTTTTACATATTTTTTCTCTATACTGAATGCCCCTTCTATACCTGCTTGAATACTCTTTGAATACCTGACCTGAATGACTAACTCCCAAAAAGAGCTTATTCTTTATCACTTTCCAACAACTTCCTTGTGTTTAATTAGCTCCTGTAAATGCAGTGTTTTTTAAAAGGGTTGGTGCACTCTAAATAATTATGTTCCAGGCTAGATGGTGCGATTTTATCACTCCAGGTTTCCATCCATTTTGACTGAGTGACCAGTTGCGCTGTCCCTTGTTGCGTGCAGTTTTCAGGTCAGGCAATCGGGCTCTCTCATTCCTTTTTGAATGTCCTCATGTCACCGGCACGCTGCATTACTCTGATATACACAGCAACAATTCCCTGGAGCGGGCCTCTGATGTGTTCTCTGGCATGGTGTGGACGAGTAGTGCTCTATGTGCTGGGGTGTCTGCAATGCAGTGTTCCGAGATATATCACCAGTATTCTAAGCAGCACCAATTTGATAGAAGGACAGAGGCTGCCTACGTGAGCCTGGTCAGCAAGTGAGGGCTCTGGTTCTCTTTAGCTCCCTAGCTGCTATATAATGCAGCATTTTCTCCTGACCCACCAGTTACTCAGCAGACTCTTTAGTGATTAATATGACTCTTTAATGATATATGCATTTTTGTGCAGCCTCCATATTATGGAAGGGCTAATCGGATTGTGCCTAAGTGTGAACTTCAAAGCATTTTTTGGCCGTCATGTTTTCAGAAGTAGAATGGTCCTGATTTACAAAAACCTGGTGACAGGATGTTGGTGTTGCTGGTCTTACTACTAAGATCATTTTTTTCTAGAGCATAGAAGGGTAAATTAAACCTGGAGTCCATCAAGAAAATGTGTTCACTTTCCTCTCGTTCAATTTTTATGCATCATCGCCTGTCACCTCAGTGCAGATTATGGAAACATCATATATACCATTGATGGCTTCTGGGATGAAATGAATGATAAAATCATTATATCTTCATGTCAGAACTTTCAGTTTGAACTGAACAGAGCTGCATCATGAATAGTTGCCCAGAAAAAAAATCCATTAAAATTCTCATTTTGGGCAGACGAATGGCAATATCCTAAAAATTATGTTGTGTGTAGACTGCCATTGGCTTGTCAACTTTTTTTTTGGAGGGTTGAGTATTACTTATATCTTGAATCTTAAAATGTTGGTCCATGTACAGCATCGGTACTAATAATAATTATTGAACCAGCGATAAATGCAGTTTAATTATTATAGGATGTAAGGATGGTCATGTTTTACTGTCGGCTAGTGCAAGAATGCCCAGTGACATCTCAGTGGTAATACATAGGTGTTTGTATAAAATTTAAGCTGCACAAAGTATTTGAAATGGCATTATAGACTTATTTTTACTATAGTCTTATCACAAAATAATTTGTTTAGATTATGGTAAAGTAAATGTACAGACAAATTTCGTTTTTTTTTTCTTTCATTTTAGATAGAATGGGGTAGGGTTCGACATTGTGTCAAGGTTTAATTGGGCCAAAAGCTTTGCATACACTTTAGCCAGGCTCCTACTCTGGTGTGGACCTACACAGATACTTCATCTTTCCTAAGACTATGCAAATATATTTCAGCCCATCTAGTCTCCGTAATCTTGGTCGAAACCTAAGATATATCTTGTTCAGTCCTGCAGACTAAGGAAATCACTTGATTTCCCCATACACACTAAAGAATTTGGATGGGGGAATATCCCTTGCTGCCTATCATATTTAAACAGCCAGCGTCTGTGCATGCAGGCCACTGGAAGTACCTGCCTACATTTCAGGGGCCGGTTTAGTATATTGGATAAAGCCACCAAAGTACATTTTAAATCGAACCTGTGCTTAGCCTATGCAAATTAAAGCAATAGTTTAATTTTAATCTCATCTCCCCAGCAATCCATAATCTCCTTCACCCTTCCACAGCTTTGTTTAGCTGTCCTTCCAGCCTCACTCCCCCCTCTGCTGCAGTGGTCTAAAGTCCCTGAGTGATCACGTTCTGTACACAGTGTATAGAATGTGAGGACACCGTGTGATATTCCACCACTGCGGCAGGGGAGACAGGCTGGAGGAAGTGTTGTCACAGCCGGCCAACTTAGAGGATCGGGTGAGTATAACTTTGTTATTTTCCTCCCTAGATCAAACGAGCGGTTAACCTTTGCAGTGCGGGGGTAGCCCCACTGCAAAGGTTAATAAAACTGTTGCCTGGAGTTCTTCTTTAATGTGCAGAATCTGTTTATATGGGAATCGCCTTATTTGCTTATTGCATATACGGGCCCTGCTGGTTTTTTTAGGTTTTAATCTGAAGAGACCACACAACAGAGGAAATCTGTCATAGGGCTCATGCAAAACATTTTTGATGATGAAATTCTTATTTGACTGAACATATTACAATGAAGGCAATGCTCTGCCAGTCTAGCTGTCAGCTGCAGTGAAAAGCAGTTAATAAGTGGATATAAACATGCCAGTGCTTTTGTGCTGGGGCCAGCCTGTGCCTGCAGTGTCCTCTCTGAACACAAGGTTTTGCATGAGGTAAGCGGCAGCGCTGTGCCGATCAGGTTATTATACATTATACAGAGTCAAACACTTAATTACTGAATGGCCTAGAAGCACAGATCTCTAATGCAGTGTGCATTGTGCCGTGCAGAGAGCTTAAAAACACACATCATTAAAGAGGTCAGAAACAACTGCCTAACAGATGTGATTAAGGTCTCTAGGGAGGAATAGTCCAGGGTTAGACTTCTGGCTTCTGAATTAATGGTTTGGTACCAACACCGTATGTGAAGATCAGAGGAAAGGAACTTGCAGTTGAATTGAAGATGAGCCATCGGGCTAGAAGGTTAGTCAGGGAGCAATATATTTTGATGGTTCAATAACCGTTTGATCTTTTTTTTGTAGGTGGGGGTGACATGCTGTGGACCCTGTGCTCGCCAAACTCCCGGGTATGAGATCACAAGTGAGGTGAGATCAATAGAAAGAAAGGTTTGTTTCTCTGACCCCAGATGTTTTTTGCTTGAGAATACACGGGTGACCTGTTTCTCGATCTCTGAGGCTTCCCATAGGCCCTCCCAGACAGATGTACATTCCATACAGAACGCTGCGCATTCTGGGAATTGCCTAATCTCCATAATCCTTCAAAACCAGATGGGGGGGAGTCTAGTCACTTATTTGTCACTAAAGTGAGACCATATCTATTGCATGTCATATTTGTGGTTTTCATAGCTAAATGGATGTATAAGTCTGTATGCCAAAAAAAGAAAAGACTAAATTGCACTTGCTGTAGTTCTATTTACAGCAAGTAAGCCCTTTTACCTCTTGACTATGCACACAAAAATGTTTTACATTTTCACCTTTCTCACATGTTGTAACCAGGAAAGGGAACCGGGTACTTGTGAGTAGCGTTTACTGTATAAATCTGCGTAAAAGCATTTGACGTTTCTACCGTGCTTAGTAGAAGTGTTTAAAGCTTGCATGTTGATCCTGGGAATTGTAGACAAAGTTCATGTTGTAGGCACAGCTATGTCTGTGGGTTTCCTGTGATGACATATGCCTGGGCTTACTCAGTAATGCTTGTATAACCATTAAGGTTATCAAGAGAATGGCCTAAAGGAGTCAACAAGCCCTCCAACCAAATTGGTGTGTAGCACAGTGGAGCTGCCTTAGAATGTCACATTCCATCACATATCCAATGAAAAAGAGGATTATCCCTTATTTTAGGACACCGGGAGAAGCCATGCCATCATTTCTTTTCACCTATTGGCTAACTGCACATTCAAAGCTGCTGGTGTATAGTGGCAATGGAGCCTAATGTTTGTTCCAAGTGGAATACAGCTGTTTCAGTTTTTTTGGCCACCATCAGTGCAGTGTATGGAAACCTTGCTTGGTAATATTAGGTTATATCTCTACTATATGCCAGCGGTCCTGAATCTGCATTTGGCTAGTAAAGGAATTATTTTGCATGATGCCACCCACTGCACTAAAATGACGGTTAATCCTCTTATTTTTGGAATATGTGATGGCATAGACATGTAAAATACCTTCAGTAAAAATTGCAATGAGTAGTAAATCATTGCATCCTAGTGGATCTTAGGTTATGATAGTAAAATTAATTAAAAGTTTTTATTGCTATAAATTACTGCAACTTCTTAAATGTTATCTGGCACTTTGAAAATGGCTAATTCAGCAGATGAAAAGCCTGTTCATATACTGTACTACACATATCATGTCAAGGTGGGCAACACATAAATGTCAAAACTTGCCAAAATGAGTTGTGAACTATTGTCCAGATATTAGAGGACCTTGCATCAAAGGTTGTCCACAGAAGTAAAAACTTGCCCATTTTCGCCAAGTTTCCCTCTTTTTCTATTTCTGAAAGAATAACAGATGAAGCTTAGTTGGTTGTTCCCATCCTCTGTGGAGAACTTTCTTTTCTCCATTTTTTTATATAATTCATTTTAACTACCAGAGTTGTTGGTGTCACTTTCTGGTTGATAAACCCAGGGAATTCAAGGAGAGAGTATTTAACTTTGTTTCATGTTGTGGTCTCAGTGCCTCTTTAATCTACTGAGACTTCTACAGGGACATGGAGTTCTATGTTCAGCCTTGGGTTGGATGAGAGATTGCTAACACAGTACGTCACATGATGAGCATGCCAGCCTGTTAGCACCAGACTGTTTTATCAGTTTACCATTTGACCTAAATGCAAAAGCTGGTCGTGTTCATGGCTAGGCACTATCCACCAGAACTTGATGCACGTAAAGCTATATTGTTAAAATGCCCTTTTGTCATACAAAGTCTGTTTTAAGGATCTAGGATGCAAGCCATTTATATAATTTTGAAAGCTGAACTGTGGGCAGATAGAGAAAAAAAACGCAATTCATGCAAATATGTGTTCAATAAAAATAAATTAGTAAATAAATAAAAAGCCTATCTCCAAGCAAACCTAAACCCTCCTCCCTTTTATAGTGGGGCTACCTCTGCAATTCAAGGGTTCATTGCACATTTATGTCTAGAGGACTGGTGTAAAGCAGTTTTACTTCTCAGCTGACGTCATCACTTCTAGGCCCCATAGTCCAACATGGTGTGGACACAGAGTGTCTACAAACTGGAGTGTAAGGGAGAGTGCCAACCAACAGGGGAGCGGGGATCAGGTAAGTAAAACTGCTACACCAACCTCTAGACATAACGAGCACTGAACCCTTGCAATGTGGGGATAGCCCCACTTCAAGGGGAGTTTTTTTTTTGTTTCCTCATGAATAGGTTTTAGATAAATTCATGTATTTATATTAGTTGTGTTTAAAAATATATCTAAAGTACCTGCAGCTTCTTGCAATCCCTGTATAGAAGATCTTAGACTGGTAAAGGAAGGGGCAGCAATAGGAGCCGATTGGGTGGGCTGCTGTGCTCATATGTGAACATGCTGGCAGGAGAGGCGAGCAAAATAAAGGAAAGGTGAGCTCCTCTGTCTGCTGCTTCCCCTTCACTGTTCAATCAAGACCTAGTTTGGTTGCTATAAGCAAAACTCACTGTAATTTACACACCATGCTAGGTGTGTAAATGATCATTGAAAAGCTGCATGTTATGTGTGAAGGGCCACTAACCTTGAAGCTTGCTGGCTCCTACACATGCCCATTCACAAAATGCCTTGTATTTTTTCAAAGAATATGATGCATTCTGTGACTGTAGTAGGAGAGGAGGGAAGCAACTTGATAAGTGAAATGCTGATCGCATCACCTGCCCCTTCTCAGTAATGTCTGTTCACAAAATGCCTTGTCATTTTTCAAATACAAGGCATTCTGTGGTTTGAAGAGAGTTGTCACACTCCTACAATCACAGAATGCCTTGTATTCTTTTAAATAAAACAGCCTTGAGTTTAGCTTATCTTCAAAGCTGCATAGCCATGCCAGAACAGAAAATATTTCAGACTTCCCCTGAACTCTCTGATGCAACCTAAATGTACATAATCCTTAAATGTAGACATCGTGGTGAACTGCCGATCCAGAAAACTGACTAAACCAAATTCACATGGTTTTCTAAGCACAAGATTCTTACAGCACTGACTGAGATCATATGACTTAATACTGTAAATGTGTTGCTCCACTATAGTTAGCACGCAACCAGGTTTTTTTTGCTGACAATGTCCTTTTATGCTAAAGTCAGGAGATACAGCACTGTGGGGTCCTGGAATAGATGAGGCCCATTGTTAACCTTTTTTTTTTTTTTGTTAACCCGTGAATTTTGTGTTTATAACTGATTCTTAGTTCTAGACATAATTTTGTAGTGTGTGTGTATACTATATTGCCAAAAGTATTGGGACACCCCCCCAAATCATTGGATTCAGGTGTTCCAATCACCTCCATGGCCACAGGTGTATAAAATCAAGCACCTAGGCATGCAGACTGCTTCTACAAACATTGGTGAAAGAATGGGTCGCTCTCAGGAGCTCAGTGAATTCATGTGTGGTAGCGTGATAGGTTGCCACCTGTGCAATAAGTCCATCCGTGAAATTTCCTTGCTACTAAATATTCCACGGTCAACTGTTAGTGGTATTACAACAAAGTGGAAGCAACTGGGAAGAACAGCAACTCAGCCACAAAGTGGTAGGCCACGTAAAATGACAGAGCGAGGTCGGTGTATACTGAAGTGTGCAGAAGTCACCAACTGTCTGCAGAGTCAATAGCTACAGACCTCCAAACTTTGTGTGGGCTTCAGATTGGTACAACAACAGTGCGTAGCGAGCTTCATGGAATGGGTCCATGGCCGAGCAGCTGCATCCAAGCCTTACATCACCAAGTGCAATGCAAAGCATTGGATGCAGGGGTGTAAAGCACGCCGCCACTGGACTAGAGAAGTGGAGACGTGTTCTCTGGAGTGACGAATCACGCTTTTCTGTCTGGCAATCCAATGGACGTGTCTGGGTTTGGTGGTTGCCAGGAGAACGGTACTTGCCTGACTGCATTGTGCCAAGCATAAGGTTTGGTGGAGGGGGGATTATGGTGTGGGGTTGTTTTTCAGGGGTTGTGCTTGGCCCCTTAGTTCCAATGAAGGGAACTCTTAAGGCATCGGCATACCAAGACATTTTGGACAATTTCATCCTCCCAACTTTGTGGGAACAGTTTGGGGATGGCCCCTTCCGTGACTATGTGCACAAATCAAGGTCCATAAAGACATGGATGAGTGAGTTTTGGGTGGAGGAACTTGACTGCCCAGCACAGAGTCCTGACCTCAACCTGATAGAACACATTTGGGATGAATTAGAGCGGAGACTGCGAGGCAGGCCTTCTCGTCCAACATCAGTACCTGACCTCACAAATGCGCTTCTGGAAGAATGGTCAAACATTCCCATAGACACACTCCTAAACCTTGTGGACAGCCTTCCCAGAAGAGTTGAAGCTGCTACAGCTGTAAAGGGTGGGCCAACTCAATATTGAACCCTACGGACTAAGACCGACATGCCATTAAAGTTCATGTGCGTGTAAAGGCAGGCATCCCAATACTTTTGGCAATATAGTGTGTGTGTATATACTGTGTGTGTGTGTATGTATGTATGTATATGTGTGTGTGTGTGTATATATATATATATATATATATGTTACTTTATAGTGTACCTGTATTAGTTTAAAGAAGTCATTTACTTAAAAGATTCATTGGTTCGAAAGAGGCAGTGACTTTTCACTGCATTGTCCTTTTAAAGCATATGTAAACCTAAGAACACAAATCCACTCTAATGCAGCTTATCAGCCCTTGGATGTGGATGCTGCATTTGTTTTTTTTTTCACGTTTTTCATTCCCTTTATTTTTTTCACTTAGTGATCTTTCCCGTAAAACACTTTTGTTCTAGATTGACTATGCTTACTTACTGTACCTTATCTATAGTAGAGCAGTGTTGTCACGCTAGGCTGCTCTTTGGATTTGGACCGCAAACAGGCCCAAATCTCCAGTGCATGGTGGTGGCAGGCAGTGGGATTTGTAGTTTACAGGAGATAGCTGGGCAAAATGATAACATTATTTGAGACTTCAGTTTAGTGCACAGTAAAGATAACGATTTTCGTTAGAAATTTTTTCGTTTCTCGCGCAAACCCTCGTTCGCTTACACTAAGACTTCCCCGTCAAGCATAGTCAAATGTCGATTTCAGAAATCGTTCGTTAGCCATACTAACCAACCAATTTTTGACAAACAATGTAAATTCCTTTTGCTCACGTGGTGTGTTCTCGCTGAGATTTTTTACGATTGAAAAACCCACTGATCCATTGATTTTTCGTTCAGTCAGAGAAAACATTTCCAACCTGACTGATCAAAATATTTAAATCACAATATCAAAAAACGAAAATTAGTGATGTACTATCAACTGTTTGATTTTGGTTCCAAAGACCATTCATGTAAATCGTACAATGTATGGCCACCATAAGTTACAAGGACAGGGTTTTCTAGCAGGAGCAATAGGTGTTTCTGAACTTGGAGAAAATGTACCTGGACTGAAAAAACAAAAACAAATGCATCCACCCCATCTAAGGGCTGGCAAACTGCAATTATGAAATGTATTTTTGTTTTTGGGTTCAGATATGCTTTAACTGCCTAAGCCTTATAGTGTAGTAACATTATTTTTTAAAGATTTTATGATTTTGGTTACAGGCTTGCTATTACTGTCTGAACACAATTTATACACATTTTTATGGTTAAAGGCAAGGTTCTTCTTTTTAAAAAAAATGCACACATTTATAAAAGAAAAACAAAATGTGCATTTATTTATTTTTTCTATTGGAGCCTTCAGTGGATCATGGATGCAATGCTGTACGACCTGTAGACTCTTCCTCCCATCCATGGGTACAGGGATGGGAGGTAGTGTCAATCGAGTAGAAGTGCTATGACGTCGACCCATTTGTACTCCATTGAGAAGGGTGGCAAACGCCCCGTAGGTTCTCCATCCACAGGTCCTGTCAAAGGATCGGTTAGTCTTTGTTCACACCTAGGCATTTTGTCGCACAAAGCTAAGCGTGACAAAACACTCAAGACATTGAATCCATTTCATGTCTGTAGCCCCTGTTCATACCTGAGTGTTTATCGCAAGAAGAAAACGCCCGTTGCTGGTCCCATAGAATACAATGGGAAACTTTATGCAGCAAAACGTGCAAAAATGTTTTCTGGCGATTCCAAATGAAGTCTATGGGACCAAAAAGCTCTGTAATCTGCCAAAAAGTAGCTCATGTTTTTCCAGAGAAAGGCAATTTATTGCTTGCGACAAATGCTCAGGAGCCATAGAACAGGGGGCCATAGAAATGAATGGGATTCCTTGTCTTGAGCGTTTTGTTTCGAGCTTTGCTTTGCGCGACAAAACGCCTCTGTGTCAACGAGAGCCTAATAAATTACGCAGCTGTGCAGGCGGAGCCACGCATAGCCGCACCAAATTTAAAGTTACAGCAGACTGGGGGGTAGGAGAACCCTGTGATTCAGGTAGTGGGACAGGTTAGGGCCTGCGGATGTGGCCATGATTCACGTAAAGCCATAAATATGGTCTAAAGAGTAATTGCATCCTTTAAATGTATCAACAAATATTATATTGGGAGGAAATACAGACCTCCAGAGAGAAAACTGAAAAACAGATTTGACAGTTGCCACCTGATAGCTCCACCTTTTACGCTTCTGTAGTTTCTTCAGCCGTTAAGAATTATCCTAACATCCTGGTGCTGCCATGGTAACAAGCAATGCTAAAATTCTGGGGTGGTCTTGGCTTACCAACACATTAACAATACACAGGTTTTCGTTATCAAAGTAAAAAGTGCTCCATACACTCCTTTTTCAGTTATGTGTTTAGTACAAAATTATTGGCCGACTTTTAAAGAAAGCCTTTACTGAGATGGATCTGAAGGCTGATATTGTTGACCTTCTTCAGTAAATACTAGGTTTTAGGCTGTTGTTGTTGACTCCACAAACTTTGAAGCCGGTGAATTATGATGACAGCCAGGGAACTAGCAGTTTCTGAAGGAGAAGTCGGGAATGGCAGACTCCATACTCTTCTTACCTTTAAGGCTGTATAGGTGCTTTTCGATGTGAGTTCTGTTGCCGCTGCTCATATTACTACCACTATCATTATGCTTTATTGTTTAGTTCTGTTCTGATGGTAAGACTGCTGCCACTTGAATGAAATGGCTTCAGCTGGCAGCCCAATGAAAACACAAGGCCTTGTTTAGTCTTTGGTATTCTTAGATCCAAGTATGTGTCTGTGCCCTCATGGATGTGCGTCCGCTGTTTTCTATTCCTGTCTCTATTAAATGTCTCCTGTGTTTTGTTGCCTATTTTTTGGAGTCGGGCACGTTGTATTGTGTTGGCTATATGTCAAATGTCAGTCAGTACTAAGCTTGGGTGTATTCCTCTTTTCAGAGAATGACTTCGGAGGTGGAGGACGAAATCCGGCTTATTAGTGGAGGGGTGTCTGAGCCGCTAGTCATCCAGGAGCTTCTGGAAAGATTACGAGAGGTTGAGGTGAGGCAAATGCTAATATATATTTTTGCTTGTAAACACGCTATGGGAATTTATGGCAGTTTCCCATAATGAAATTAGGTGTTTCCTAGAGCAGTCATTCCGATTTGTACCTGGGGGGGAAATGTGAACACTTATTTCCCAAATGTCATTGAATACCCTGTTTGTGTCAAAAACTAAAAATAATTATGTATTTCTATATTGAATTTCCATAAGTTCTATCCAGCTTACCATACCAATCTAGATGTTTGCAAACTTATGGAAGATGTCCATAGGATGTGCTTCCTCAACACACTGACACAATTTCACTCAGCCCTGTGAATATGCACTTCCTTACAGGAAAACATTCATCTTGTAGGACTCGTTCACTACTGGTGCCTTAAGCTACATTGATCAGCATTGATCAATGCCGGCTCATCATTAGGGCACATTGAAAACAATTGTTGTGTGCTGCAACACACTGTGGTTTGTTGGCATGCGGTGATGTGTTGCACTGTGTAAAGAGTTAAATGCAAAAGCATTTACAGTTAAATGCATAGAGTCAAGTAAACTGTCATTTTGTGATATTTCAATAAAGTTACAAAAAAAGTGTGATGCATTGTAATAACTCGTCACACCGACCCAGTGGGTGGGTGTTACTGTGGAGCATACTGTAAATTGTATATTGCCCCTCTAATCCTGCAACTAAGATAGCCGTTTCCACCACTGTGCCCACTTAGATTTCATATAATGGATATAATTTGGCTTCTGGAAATGTCTCCCCAAGCAAGTACATCACTTCCACAGAGCACTGGCAAGATTCCAGTTTGGCACACCAGAAGCCACCCCCCCAGGACAGCAAATGAAATCAATATATGATATTACTAAACATTCTGATTAGAAGGAATCTACTCTCCTTCGAAGGCACTAATCTTCTGAGACTGTATTGATAAAGGGCCAAAACTAAAGTGACAAAGATGGAAGAAATTAAAGTGTATGTCAAGGCAAAAAAAAATATTTAGTACATTTCTGAAATACATACACTTTCCCCCATGTTTAATCCCTTCAAAGTACAGAAAAATACCCTTTTATGTGCCAGAAATATAGCATGCTTCTACCTGCTCTGAATTCGTAAGCACGTGGTGTCAGCCCTGCCTTTTTCATTTCCGATTGATTACAAAGAACACATACCTCTCATCATAACCTCCCACATCCTCATTTCCCATAGGAAGTTTTCAACACACAAGATTTCTGGAAGGAACAACAGGTTGTTGTTTTTTTGCATACACGGGACAAGCTATAACAAAACTCTTTCATTGGTATATTTAAGAAACCAAAAGGAAGCAGATAATAGATGCTCATTGTTTTAATTTGAGAAACATTTGCGCAATTATCGCAGGGCCTACAAATTTAGTATCACCATCTTTTTATTCTACCGGGCCTGCGCTTTCAGAAAATATATGGTTTGGGGGGTCTTTTACAAACGCTAGCAACGCAGCAGTTGAAAATCAAACCAATAGGAAAAAATTGCAGAAAATTCTAAAATGGCTTGGCCAGCTGATTTGAAAAATGTTCCGGAGGGCTTGGCAGCGAAAGGGTTAACATACACTTTTATATTAGGGTTGCGTCCCCTTCATAATAATCATATTATCTGTAAATTCCATACTTACTTTCTGTTCCCAACAAAGAGATGATCATGTCACTGAAATCCAGTCCAGTTACAACAAATGACTTCACAGATCAAGCTACATTAACATACCAGAGTATCAACTTTGCATAGTATTGCATGATGGTGTTTAAACCAGACTGAGACTAGCTCAGATCAAAGATTGCAAAGTGCTTATCTATAATTAAAACGTTATGAGTAAGAGTTCAGAGTAACAGAACAAAGTGTGGAGGGGCCTCCTTATACTTTTCTGCAGAGGAAGCAATAGAATCTAGGCCTCATTCAGCTTCTGGGCCCTAGTGCAGCTACACTCTTTGCATACTCTTTCTTGTTCTTCCACTTTGTTACATGACAAGTAAAACATTGATGTAAATTAGGAATTATTAATATTATTACACATACAGGGAATGATCATTTCCTGCATGTTGTAAATGTTTATGAATGCATCTTGCAGGCTGAAAACTCCACTCTTGCCCAAGCCAATGAAACTCAGCGGGAAACATACGAGCGCTGCCTTGATGAGGTATGTTGGATTGTTGTATGGTTTGTGGAGGCTAAATACACTGCTAGCTGCAATATGATAGCTATCCATATGACTGGAAAGCATCACACTCCTGAAGCAGATATTTATTAGACTTTTATGTGGTAGGAAATGCCCGTTATGGTATTGTATGTAATGTGAACCCAACACTGGGGGGTGTTAATAAATACAATGGACTGTCTATGAAACACACTTGTCCATCCATCAGTGAGAGGGTAGACACTGAAATAGCAGTGTGCTACAGACAGCTGCGGGAATCCAAATATTTCACAGCCCACGTCTGGCTTCAATTATTGTGTCACCCATATGGAATTCCAGAAATCTCATTCCGTATTCGAATCCTGAAGATAAGACTTGATACACATAACTGGGCCCTCAGCTCCTAAGACTTTAGAGCCAAGCACAAGGCTGTCCTATGATGTAATGTTAAAGATCGGCTTAAACTAACTTGGGGATATTGGCTCTGAAATATGCGAGAAGCCTTTTTTTCTCTTTACTTTGTGTTCAAGCATACATGGTTGTTTTATCATCTGTAGTAGGATTGGTAAGGATATCGGTTTAGTATATGGTGATCGATCTGTCTCAAAAGGCTCTGATTGGCTGAGATTTAAAGGCTTTTACCTTTTGTACTAGGTATGTCAGCCAAGCTAAAGTTAGAAAGTGATAGATTCTGGAAAAACTACCACTGGAGCAATGAATAGTAATGTGGACCTGTTCCTTGCATTGTACAAACTGGTGAGGAATCCACAGACAAGGCATCTTCTCTGCCTTGTGATGTTAGTGCTGGTGTAGCAAGTCACCACTGGCCAACTAGGGCACTTAGTTGACCACTGTGTGTGGGTTTCTTTTTTTCTTTACTCCAACGGAGAATAAAGCCAGGATGGGATACATTTCTTTAGTTACTATGGACCCCCAAGACTTCTAACAATGTTAAATCGCTGTCAATCACACAGCAAATTATTGATAGTCTCATAAGTAAATTGAAATAATTGTTTAGTAAATATGAAATTCAAAATAATTGTTACAAAAGTTTTTCTTTAAAAAAAAAAGTTGTGTAAATGTTGTATGCTGACGAATGTATTCTTTTGAAAACAATATTTAAAATATGGTTTTTGTTATATTACCTTCTCAGTCTTTATTTCCAGGCACTTTCATTATTGTGTTAGTAAATGCACTTTGACATCTCATTGGATTTGTAGTGGTAGGTCCTTGTGTTAGCTCATTTCTGGGCTCAAGTCTCCAGAACGTTTCTTAGAATATTTTTCTTCTGACCCTTTTTAAGATGATGGAAATGAACTGGAATGTGAAGGTATTGTGGTGAAATATGTTCATATGTTTTACTTGTATTCTTTTTGATAGGTTGCAAACCATGTTGTGCAGGCACTTTTAAATCAAAAGGTAAGCAAATTGTATTCTTTTTACCTTTTTGTATCAGATACCTTTCACTTACCAACAGTTTTTTTCCCAGGGGAAATAATTTTCTTATATATTGGTAAAATATGTAAGGGACAAAATATATACAGGAACATTTAAATGATGTATCCATGGAGTTGTCACATGCAGTTATTCATTTGGCAATCTCCAGCACTGCTGTAATGCTTCTTATGTGCAAAAGCAGAACTAAAAAGAAATGTTGGATGCTGGGTTCCATCCCACCAGAAACACCATCTGCACGAAGTTCCCCATGCATTACAAACACCCTTTAACTGTAGAGCAGTGAAGTTGTTCAGAATCCGACATCCTGCAGAGAGGATGTGGTCAGTGCAGAGCTTGTCAAGTTTAGCAAGCCAAAGATATGTGTTTACTTCCCTCTGTGACTTCTCTACCAGTCCAGACCAGGGTAGAAGACATCTCTGCTGAGACTCAAAGATGATTTTTTGGGAGACCGAATTCAGTGCAGTAACTGGCACATTTTTTAAAGCTAAGCTGTCAAACAAATTTACTTAAAATGGCACAAAACACGCTAGAAAAGTATATTTGGTGATGGAGTTCAATTCATAAAACTCAGTTTTGGAGTTTTGCTTAAAACATGGACACCAAGGTGTCTTTCCTGGGATCTGTTTTGTAAATCTGCGGAGTGCTGTCAACTTTTTCCACATCTTTCGTTTTCTAGCCTTTTCTCTGAGCTCTCATTTAGTCTGACAGTTGGGGGTTTGTTGTCTTTTGACAATATACTGATAAGCGCAGTGCACAGAAAAGGCCCAAAAGCTGTGGATGTGAGCAGGAGACCAGGACCCTCTTACATATTCTCCAACGCTCTGAAAAGCTAGACCGCTTTATGTCATAGTCCGTACCTTTTTGTTTGGATATTTTTTGAAGGGCTCCAGCTAAGTTGTGAGTTCTGTTTTTATTGGCATGCCAGGGTGGCTTAAAACCTGTTCCTGTAGCCTGCACATCAATGTAAATTACCTCCTAATCTGTTCTTTCTTTCTGTCTCTGATTTTAGACATCTGATTTGCTTATTGGAGACTTGTATTATGTGCGCATTCATTTTTGTGTAATTTAAATTCTGTTACTTTTGCTAGGATCTCCGGGAAGAATGTATTAAATTGAAAAAGAGGGTGTTTGACCTTGAGCGTCAGAACAGAGCATTAAGTGAACTCTTTCACCAGAAGCTGCAGCGCTCCTCAGGATCATCGCCGGAGGTAAGAGCTGTATCTATAGGAATCAGGTCACATACAAAGCACACAGATGAGTTGATCTGGCTTAGTAAATCATGTGACTTCTCGGCCTTTTGGCTAAGATCAAGTGTAGTATCTGTTCTTATCAGTTGCCGGTGGAAGAACGACACCACTCCTTCTCGAGGTGATTTAGGATGGTGGCTTAGTATTTACCGGCGTAATTGGTGGGTGTCAGATGGGGTACAGTCCCTCCTGGTTAGATTCTGACCCAGTGATGCTGGGCTTGTCACCGGTGGTAGGGATGGACCCCTGACGGCACTACCTTCTGATGGGAATGGCTGCGAAGCTTGGTCGAGGCTAGAGGGTTGGGAGGCAGCAGAGCCCGTGGTGTTGTGCCCCCTGGGGGTGGCGTCCCAGGGGTGCTCAGAAGTCACTTGGGTGTGGGAGACCCACTTTGACTCACTGTGCACTTGGTCACACACCACCTTGCAATTTCTGCACAACGCCTCTTGGACAGGCCTTATGGCTAGTCCGGGGCAATTTTTTAGCACCCGGCCCCTAGGGCCTGTCAGCGTGGTGCACTGGCACTATTCCTTTATTTATTGCACCTCATGCACGATTGGCACATTTTTGTGTTTTTGTAAATTTTGACCCACAGATTGCTTAGGGTGCAGGTTCCTTCGGGGCCTATTCCCGATGCTGGGGAGGAGGTTCTGTGCCCTAATATAGGGTTCTCTGCCTTCTCCCGAACCAGGGAGTCTCTCTTCGGGAGAGCTCCCTACCTAGTACTGGGTGGGACCTGTTTCGGCAGGTCCCCGAAGGATCGGGGTCCGCCAGTCTCCGGGCTGGTGGACCAAAGTATCTCAACCCCTGTCAGGAGCCTTGCGCCCCGGGGGGTCGGGAATTCGAGGTCCCTTCTTTATTGAAGGACCAAGCACCCTTGTGCACGTTTTTGTGTGCTGTGATTTCACGGTTCACTTTTTTTGTTCACAGGGGGAAGTTTGTTTTATGATGCACGTCCACGGGCTCTTAAAAAAAAAAAAAAAAAGTAAATCATGTGACAACACATCACCTTCTCTTTTCTGCTATATTGTAACGATGTATCACTGGCACTCTTTCTTCTATTTTCTGTTGTACAGATGTGCTGGTATACTACCTGCTTTTATTTACAATAACATATTTTTGTAACATAGATGGATACAATACCTTTGTAAATGCCCACTATTAGTCAGTAGTGGGTATAGATGGTTGCTGGTACAGCCAGGCACCCAGCCTTTCTCGCTCTTCTTGATTTGTTCTTTTTATATAGTCCATTAAAAAGGCCTTTGAAAACACTCATGTTTTCATAGCTACTCAAAGAGCATTATAGTGCATGTAATGTACTCTAGTGTTCTCTTTGGAATTGGTGCATTCAGATAATTCAGAATTTCTTTTCTTATGTGAATGTATGATACATTCAGTTCTAATATGGGCATGTCTATAGTACATATTAGAAAAAAATACACTTTGAATGATTTCATACATTCCTTATCTACGATATAAAATCCATTGTGAACACTGTGGTTGCAGCTATATAATATTGTTTCATTTATTCTGTTCCTATCCAGTTGCATCCACTGCAGGCTGTATCTGACTCTCAGGGAGGTGATCTAGAGAGGGTGCCTGTCTCTCTTCCACTGGGACAATGTGTACTGCAGAGAGAGGTAATCCGATATATGCGCTCCTCTCCATTGTGGGAAAAACTGAGATTGTTGAAGGCATTGCAAAAATGTCCACCTATTAAATTTAAAAGTATTTTAGAATGCCTGGGCCTGCAGCATTAAATGCACAACTTTTTGCTATGTTCAGTAAGCAGTAGTGACTTTCACCAGTTATACATCAGTATGTACCAATGATTGAAGTCACTCTATACTGCCAACTAACAACGCTACAAGTCACTGCTTTTTATTGCTTCTTGTGTTATTAAAGTGACACTGTTACCCGAAGTTAAATCATAAAAATGCAGTCAAGTACCTTAAGGCCTGGTTCACACTGAGCGTTTTGTAGTGCTTTTTCTGCCCTAAAAAACGCTAAAAAATATGCCCCCCAAAAATCCCATTCATTTCTATGGCCCTGTTCACATCTGAGCGTTTTGTTGCAATAAGCAAAACGCCCGTCTCTGGAAAAAGTACATGAGCTTTTTTTTTTTTTGCCATATTACAGCTAGTTTTGGCCCCGTAGACCTAATAGGATTGGCTGGAAAACACGTTTGCGGTGCTTTTGCGTGTGTTTTGCAGGCTTTTGCTCATTCACGTCAATGAGCTACAATCTGCTCACAAAATTGCACAATCTGATTTATGCACATAAAACAGGCATAAAAATGTGCAACAAAAACTTGCATAGAAACGCACAAAAACGATGTCGCCTAGGTGTGAACCCAGCCTAACTGTTAAAAATGTAGCTTATTTGTGTATCACTCAGCTGAAGATGCTCAAATCATCTCTGAATTGGTACTGACACAGTCCTTCCTTCTGGAGGGTGGCTACTTTTTTCCCCATGGTCCCTGCGTGTGTCTGTAAAGTAGTCACCACTCCAAGCTCGCTCATGTGATGGACTACAATATCATGTTTTGTTTGTTAGTTTGCATTGAGATTGTAGTCTATTACAAGAGCGAGCTTGGAGTGGTGGCTACTTTACAACACACACAAATAAGATACCGTTTTGTAAACCGTTAAGGTGCTTGAATGCATATTTAAGATTTAACTTCTGAGTTTAGTGTCACTTTTTAACAGCACCTTTAAGATGTAAAGCGTCAGTTCACTCAAAATTGGTATTTCAGTTTTTGGTAGAAGGTGAAATTTTAAACTACCTGGCAAGTCTGGTCTATTGGTGAAATATGTACATTCAAGTTTCTGCAGCTGTATGCCTGCTTTGGACATTATGAGAGTTGTCCCACTCTCTTGTTGAATTAAATAGAAGGACCTGGAACAAGCAAGGATAGATGGCTACAAAACTCCCATGTAGACAGAAATTGAGAACTATGGCAGGGAGCTCTCACTGTTGGCTTATCCAAAACTTGTAATTATAGCTTTTCTTTTCTTTTACCCAAAGGAGAAGCAGCGCTCTGGGAGAGCCCAGTCATCTTGTCGCTCCCTAGATACCATGTCTCCATTCCTCAGGAAAAAGGCACAGATCTTGGAAGTTCTACGAAGATTGGAGGCAACAGGATCTCAGTCCGGACCAAGCTGCACTGCTTCAACTTATCTTGGGGCCTTGCCATCGACTAGTGGAAATGGGCTGCGCATCAGAACAGAACATGGCTTGGATTATCTTAATGGTGAGGGTATGACCCCTCAAGAACTTGGTGCAGATGAACCTTGGGCTTCCTGTTTGCTTTTGGCCCAAAGTGGATGGGAGGAATTGCTCAAATGGAAGTCCATACAACGGGAACCACCAGCAGGTAGCCCTGGAGAGGGTGGAGGAGAACACCTTGGTTTGGCAGCAGAGGAAACACAGCAGTCCACACATCAAGCAGAAGGAAGTTCTTCCTCTTCAGATGATGATATTGGAGAACCACCTCCTCCGATAAGTGAAATCAGACCGCGTTTACCCTTAACTGACTTGGCAAAGGGCTTAGCACCTTGTTTGTGCTCCCGTGGAGCAGGAGATAAAAGGGGCCCGGTTGAGGGCCATTCTGATGGAACTGGTTTCAGTAGGGGACACATTACGCATCTTCACTCACTGACGTGCTATAGCAAAAGCATTCATGATGTGGTAGAAGGTCAGCATATGCCAGCAACATCACCAGCAGTTACAGACAGAGGGGATTCCCCAGCTAAACCATTGGGTTCAGAACATAAATATGAAGGACGTGCTTCACCTTGTCCTCCTCCTGGGAGCACTTTAAGTTTACCAAGAGACACAAGTGAATTAACGCACAAGAGTGCAACTCAGGAGTCACAAGATGATTGTTCTCAGCCCTCATCTATGGCTCCTAATCCTTCCTCCTCTGACCCACAAGATGCACTTATTCCCTCCACTGAATCCCGAACACCTCACATCCCATCTCCAGCTAAATTTCTCAAGTTTTTGAAGCTTCCAGGCTCAGCGGAGAAGTCTCAGAGTCCAAATTCTCTGAGGCTCAGCCCTCAGCTCACCCAAACCTCCAAAATTCCTTGTCGGAGCAATAATTATGAGGCGTTTCCCTCTCCACGCCCAAGTAGGAAGGCAGCGGAAGAAATACCTCGTCCAGAAGTAGATGTTGATCCACCATCTCCCTCTGAATTAATAAATTCAGATTCCAGTAGGCAAGGGCAAACTGAAAGTTCTAACAGCTTACTAAGTAGACCTGCAGTACAGTGTTGTACCAAAAAGTCTCATGATTATGAGAACGTTCCAGCTAAAAATTCAGAACTTTCCACTGCAAACCAAACTGTCGAAGATTTGGAGGGTTCTTCAAAATTGGTTAGTTCAGTGTGTTCTTTTGGCTGTTCTCCTGGACTTTGTGCTCATTCCCAAGTAAATTGTACAGAAGATAATCATAGTCAGGTGTCATTCAATAGAAAACATGTAACTTCCAGAAAAACTGTAGAGTCTGTTGGTCATCTCCCATTTAAAGAAAGAATGGGAAAGCTGAGGAGTTCAGACAGCCAACAGTCTGAGCTCACTGTTTCAGGAACAGAGAACGTTAGGGTAATAACTGATGGACCTGAACTACGACCATCAATGAAACGATCCTTAGCTGTTAGTAGTTTAAGGACTCCTGAACCTGGATCCACTGAGAGTTATCCACCACGGTACCATGGCCAAAAGTCTGATGCTGCTCGCACTCGCCAACCTACCACAAACTATCCACCAGGCTCCCCTCATGGACCTCGTAATCAGCCTCGAGCACCACCTGTCCCTAGCAAATCTCCTCGCAGCCCTCATGGCAGTCCAACAAAGTTACCTGCCAAATCCCCCAGTAAAGCAACAGCCAAACCTCTTGTATCCCGACCTCTAAGTGAAGAGCTGAGGCCAAGTTCTCGGCAACCTACATCCTCTAGTGAAGATAAGCAAAGAATGCAATCTGCTGGTATAGGAAAGAAAGCTGGGACATGTCCAGAGTATGCCTGTCCTCGTAGCACAGGCCCACAGGGTACAGAAAGTCTTCCACTAAGTGCTCTGCATTCTGCTATAGAAGAAAAAGTCATGAAGGGCATTAAAGAAAACATGTTGAGGTTGCAGGAACAACATCGTTCACCTTCATCTGATCCTAAGCAACGTAATTCCAGTGGTATTGCCAGCTGGTTTGGCCTAAAAAAAAGTAAGCTGCCTGCACTTAGCCGTAGACCGGAGGCTGGACGAGTGAAGGAGGAAAAACGGGACAGGGCTGCTGGAGGCTCTCCTCGGACTAGAGATGTAAAGGGTGAGAGCCTAAATATCTCCATGTTAATGGAAAAAGCAGAGGATCTGAGAAAAGCTCTCCAGGAGGAGAGGGCCTATATTAATGGACTTTCTCTGGATAAAAATCGTACACTTGTGCCTGTGGACCAGGCGCAAAATCAGAGGTCTTTGACTGCGGACAACTTTATGCAACAGCTTTTAAATCGGTGAGTATCATGAATTCAGAGATAAAATATGTATATTTCTGATTTTGGGGTAATTGAAGCAGGAATGTTGCATGATTTAAGAATGCTGAGGCCCACTCATCTCTTGCCAATTAACATGTCTTATTAGATACAATGAATACTTTAAAAGACTACATACATCAATAACATAATTATATAGTATCTATAAAGCTGATTAACTATCCTGCCCCGAAATATCAAATATGCAAAAAAAATCCTTTAAGTTTTGCTTTAATAAAATAAACTTGTAGTATAAGTTGATCACTTTCTGTTCAGTCAAATAGTGCTTAAACTAGAGCTGTACCTCAAATGGAAAAGATTTTACTTTTTGGGATGGAGCAGGGCAGGGTCAAATTCCTTGATGGGCCTAAAACTTTCTGGGACCCTACTAGATTCTCCCCATGTTTTGAATGACTGACAAGCCTTGCTTGGCTTTCTCAGAAAAAGATAATATCGCTGGCTCATACACACTTCACTGCAGGGTAAGTAAAACAGGATTGCTGCATTGCAGTATAAGGCATAGTTCACGTCTATGAACCCCAGGGTATTGTTGCAGTTTCCAGCAAGTGCATTTTCTAAGAGGATGAACAGTACTGCATGCACTATTCCTCAAAAATGCACCAAAACAGAGGTGTGGTGAATGGGCCCCTAATACTTCAGGTTAAAGTGTCAGAATAAGACCCCATTCACACTGAGCTACAACAAAATAAGCGCTTTTCTGCACATATTTGAGCAGAGCTACATTGAGCTATATCGAGCTTCTTTGAGCTACAGTGCAAATTTTGACATGCTACGTATCACTTCTTTTGGCATTTCAGCACAAGGACTTTGTGGCTGCTACATTGAGCAGTATCCAATCACAAGCAGTCTTTGATGCCCTTTCCTGCTTCTATGGAGAGTGTTCCTAGGTTTCATTTCTGGGCAAAAGCTACACTTGTGTATTGTGACATCGCGCTACATTGTCACGCAGAAACACAGCTAATGAGCGACTTTGAGCTACAACATTGTGCCCTCTCTGTGACTGAAACGTAACATTGGCTGTGTTTCATCCAGCCAGTATTTGCATGGGAGCTGCTCATTCCTGCTGATCATTACTTCTGAATGCTTTGCATCTTTAAAGAGGAACTATAATATATTTTTTAGTAAATCTATTTTAACTGTTAACTTTTATTTTTTAACTTTCGTTCTGTTACATATTTTGAATATTATATTTCTTATTGAGTTTTGTATTTTTTCTCTTTCTGCTTTTCCTTAACTTTTGTGTGCACCAGTGCATTGCAGTAGCACGCCGTACCACAATGTGTGGTAACACAGCATGCATGTGTTAGCGTATTGCAGTGCCATTCAATTTGAATGGCACCCTGACGCACTTGTGTTGCATTGGCAGCCTATTCAATTGAATGGGCTTCCTTACTGCAACACATGGTAACTGCAACATAACACCCGTTAACCCCACCGCAGCACATGGTGTGAATAGGCCCTGAAACTTCTAAAAGTCCTGCCCAAGAATAGACACCTCAAGATACCTGCTGTTGGCTAGTAAAACTGCTTATGTTCTCCTCTCTGGTTTAGTTTCACGTTATTACTGGGGCTTGACTTTCTCGTATTTAGCTAAAGCCAACAACATTTTTGTTCTTGGGTTTAGCTATGAAATCAATTTTCTGCAAGTGACTTCCTGTGCACTGAACAGATAGCTAAAACAATATTATCAGCAGTCCCCCACTATCTTTTGTGAACTACTGAACACCACCTTCTTTTGTAATGTTGAGGTAATCCATAGATCAAATCTGCTGTGTCTGGCACCTGCAAAGCGTTAGTGATATTTTAAAGACATCTTTAGGATGACTTGCATTAACAAAAAGGAAGCAGTAAAGCTTAGTCATTGTGTTTTATTGCTAAGGAAAAAGCATTGCATACATATGTAATGAGCAATGTGACTCCCTATGTACATATATCACTAAGAACTAAACCTAGAACCAGGGATTTTTTAAAGCAACACTTATTGATAGATTGTGTACATTAAAGCTCAGTTTCAGCGAATATTATTTTAATTTTTCATAGAGTGAATAAGAGTCAGATCTCCTCAGTTTGTATTGCTGTCTGTATCCTCATTGGGGAGCTCTCTTCCTGTGCCAGGGACACCAACACAAGAGAGGGTGTGGGTGTCACAGGAATATGACACAGAGAGCAATAAAAACCTGACATGTTCTAAGCCTTCCACACTCTATTAAATAAATGTGCTTTTACTGCTCTCTCCTATTCCATCCCCATCTGAAGGATATCCCATCACGCCCTGCCTATGACACTGTCACCAAGACAGGAAACAACTTGAAATCTCCCCAACAAGGACACAACAACAAAAGACAAATAAAAGTGGCAGAACAAACATATAACTTAGGGGGTTATTCTCTAAAGAGTCGAAGGATCTAGCCATAGCTTCGGCTGATCCTTCTGCTCACTTCGGCCGCCTCTGCTCTTCGATGCAGTCGAACCGAAGGGCTGCTGTATGGGCTATTCACAATAGCCAGTACAGCAGCCGAGTGGCTCATCTGAGTCGAAGGCATATGCTTCGGCTCGACGGAGACGGAGTGATAGCCGAAGGGCCGACCGATCTCCTTGCAAATGACAGCTAAGCATCTCACGGCTCGCTCCGCCCAGTTGTAATGACAGATCAGCATCCCCAAATGACCTGAGGATGCTGATCTGTCATTAATAACTACTGGACGGAGCCGGCCGTGACGTCCCGGCCAGCTCCGCCCAGTTGTTCATAGGCGGGACCTGCTAGAATACTCTGGCAGGTGCCAGCCAATAGGAGACAGTTGAGTGGAGCTAGCTGTCAACGCTAGCTCCGCCCAATTGTTTTCCTTTTTTTTAATCTTTTTTTTTCTTTCTTTTAAATATTTTTCTTTTTTAAAAAACATTTCCTATGTTCACATTTTGAAAATTTTTTCACTTTTTTTTTTCTTTTTCTTTTATTTAACTGTTTTCCTATTCAGCTCGTTACCTTGGAGGTACCGAGCAGAATAGTCGAGCGGAATGCCGCTGAAATCAGCCGTACAAGGCTGAAGTGAATAGCCTTTGGCAGCTTTGTGAATAACCCCCTTTGTCAACTATGGATAAAGTACAGGTTCCATTAAGTTATTTTGCAGATGCTGAAATTAATATGTTAGTGATATGCTACCAAAGGCCTGTCTCATTTATTGGGCATTGTGGTAAGTTGCAGCTCAGAGATTTAGGTTTGTTCTCCTATCTGATCTGGAGTTTGACTGTGTGGTTTTCATAGCAAGAACACCGAGAGGAGGCTGCTGAAGAGTACATTCACACTACCTGCCCAATGACCAGACCTGGTTACCTGTCATCTCTCATTTAAGCTCCACCGAGGATTGTAGTCTGGCAAGTGGCAACAGCCTAAAAAGTGCAGCTTTGATCATAAACACGGTTTGTTCATCAATGCTGCACTGCTAAAAAAACTGAGCACACACATGCCAAGAGTGGCAACGGTTACCCACCAAAATACATTGCAACAATATGGTTAGGTAAGCTCCTTTTTGTTTGTTTTTTTGAAGGTTAGTAGCATGACAGTGAAAAGCTGGGGGCAGGTTTTCAGGCTGAAATGGCTCACTGGACACTTGCTGAGCCCTAGGCTTCAGCGTAGTTTGCCTAGTGAGTGATCCAGCTCTTGTGAGTAGAAAAGGGTTTCATTTAATCCTTGAGTGGTGAGGTCTTCTCATAGTTCTTCCCAGGTCTACACCTTCTTGTTGATCCTCACTCCTCTGTTGTCCTTGTATTCTGTAGTATGAGGCTAAACGAGGTCTTCAAAAGTAAATTAAAGCAGTAACTCAACTGCCACCTTGGAATCTGTTTGTCACCTTTTTAGACTATCAGTGTGCATTCTCTATTGTCTGAAGTTCACTCAGTTACGGCTAATCAAAATTTTGAGTTCCTGACAGAGCACTCTCATTGAAGGAACAGTATAAAGAATGTAACATGCGCATTCTAATCACTTGCTCGAGGAATAAAAATTTAAAAAAAACCTTGATGTATTATGATGTCATTCATTTTGTTGTAGTGTCCTTTAAGAGCTTGAAACAGTTTTTGTAATATCCTGTACTCTGATGTGTGTAAAATCCCATACAGGTTTGTTAGCTATAGGCCTATTCAGTGTGCTTAATTTAAGACAGATATTAATTGTAGCAAATGATCAAATTCATGCAAGATTTAAGATTCTTTTGGTACGTTATACATATCCTCACTCATATAAAAAAAAGCACACATATACAGAGTGTCTGGAATCTGTTACACTAATATTTTGAATAATAAAAGCTTAAATGGGCTGACCATTTTCACTCAGTAATTTGACTCTGTTACACATTGGTCAAGTAACCATATTGTAGGAACTCTGATACACGGTCAAGTTGGCCATTGATGGCAAGTTAATATTCTGCATTGGTACTTTGATCCAGTGCATTGCTGTTGCAAACTCAATGACTTATGGAAATTAAGGAGTAACTATTTTCTCCCATTTCAGGGTGGATGGTAAAGACCCCCCTCTAGAAGGCCGCCTGGAAGGGAAGACACCTCTGCGGGATTTTCCAAGATTATCACCTGAAAACAAGGAAGTCCGACCATTTCGGCCTCCAAGGAATGGGATGGTCACACATGTCCAACGCTGTGAGCAGAAGAACATAGATCAGGTAGGCATATGGTATATAAGAGCCAGATACTTGGGACCAGATGACAGCATTGAATCTAAAATATTCTTCCTTCTCCAAACAGAACAGAGAAGTGGCTCTTCCTCCTGATGAGAGGATTTCTGAATCTATCAATTCACAGCATTTTGCAGGTATCTGAAAACTTTCTTTGTTTCTGTATGCCATGCCGTCCTTTAAAGACTGGAAATTGTTACTGGCTATAAGCTATCTGGGGAAATCTAGAATTTGTGTATAAATATACTTTAGTTCTAGTGTTGTATGATCTGTAGCTGCCTCTTCTCTGTAGCTGCCCCTTCTCTGTAGCTGCCCCAATCCGTTTTATTGGTTACCTGAAGAGATCCCTAGGTTGTGATGCAACAAGCTTTTCCGAAGACCTCCTGCTGCCTTCCACATACGGAGGGGGAGAGAGGTGGACGCTCACTGTTGCAGGACTGGAGATCAAGTGCATTAACATACAATGCAGAACCCAAAGACATTTTTTTTTTTAGGGGGGGTTGGTTTTCCTGGAGTTCAACTATAATTCTGGTAAACACAATTTCCCACAGTACCCTCTCTAATATCATATAGAAGGAAAGCTAAGTACAATGTTTTCAGCAATAAAAGAGAAAGTAAGGAGATAAACAGCTATTTTTAAATATATTTTTAGGTTATGCTATGTGAATGGCAACATTTAACAAATATAAGGTGAGGTGTTATCCCAATTTGGCTGCAAAATTGGAAATACACAATAAACAATGACACTAATAATTTTCAAAGATTTACAGATTGACCACTATAGGTACATTTACAGATCTGATCTGATTTGAGATGCATATCTTGCTTCCATTACAAATCCCAGAAATAAGTTCCTATTCCTCATTTTAGGGTAGTGCGTGGAGCCATGTCATTCTTTTTTTGCCCCTCTACCAAATATACATCCAGAACTGCCAGTTGACAGCACAGATACAGCCTAATATTATAGAGCTATTTATTCCAAACTTCAGCTTCTTTAGGCTTGTTGGCCATCATCAGTGCAGTGCATAGAAATAATGGTGTGGGGTAAGATCTGTATATGTGATGCAATACCCTATTGACCTTATTTATGGGACTCGGGTTAGAATGAGAATCCTAACATATTCTGGCAAAGGATATCTAAAACATTGTATACTCAAATTAAGTTTTAGTGTTTTGTGTTGGGTTTTTTTTTTTGCATTTGAAGAATGTTATGTGATTACTCAAACACTGAATATATGCAAAGAAAAAGTAAATGAAGCAAATTAGTTTGCCAGTAGATTTTTGGTCCTTGAAATTTGAGAATGTGTCTCACATTGGAGATATCTTCGTCCTGTTGCATCTGTTAAACTGACAAAAAAATTGCCTTTTCTACCTTATCCAAAGCTAAAGCAAACGTTTTGGCTAGAGTTGTACTTCAGATAAACAAGTGTGTGGGGTACAAAATGGCCTACTTTGCTTGAGACACCAAGTCATCTTGTCAAATTGCTTGCTTCCTTTCTATGTAGGTGCAGTATTGTTAGGCTCAAACAGTTTGCCCACCCTACAGATTTGTTTTCTATTTTTCCCCACAGCTTGTGACTCACTCACTCGGACCCTGGACAGTGGCATTGGGACATTTCCTCCACCTGATTACTGTGGAGGAACACCAAACAAAAGTGCCCCAAAGTTAAAGTCTAGGCTGGAGTCCCCCTCTGTCCTTCCAGTGGGAAGGTTTTCTGCTTTCCCTAAGGTTCCTAGAAGAGCACGGACATTGGAGAGGGACATGAGGGGTGTAGAGGAAATGTACCCACCAGGACAGCATCAGAGTATCCCAGCATTCCATGCACTTTTGGCAGAACCGGAGCCTGCTGTGGGACACAGGATGTTTGGAGAAGGTATGCCTTTCTAAATCTCCCAGTAGCTTGATTATTAGAAGCGGTAGTAGTGTTATCTTTCAGGCACATACTGTAAATAGACCTAATTAGTAAAGCAAGGGAAAATGTAAAATGTAGCAACTCACACCAACCAAATAGAATTAGTCTTTCCTCGATCTAACGACATGAAGCTGCATTCTAATTATTTACTAGATCTTCACATAAACATTGCTGTTAATATCACTCTTCTGAATAATTACTGTATGTGGTTAATGTAAATGACAGCTTCAACCATTAAATAGCTGCTATTGGTCATCTAACATGGTTTTTTTTTTTTCTAATGCAGATGCGAGTAGGGATCACAGTTTGCCACAGCAGAGCAAGAACTGGACCTTTCCCAATGCCAAGATCAGTGCTGGCTCAGCAGAAAGCTTCCGGTCTAGAGTGCATGATCTGGAGGAGGTAAGGGGAAGTTCTGTGAAGCAGCACTAGTGGAAGGCTGTCATGAAAGTAGTGATATATTTAAATAAATATATTTTTCCAGATTACCTTTTTGAAGTCTGCATTGAAGTAAGGCTGTTACATGGAAATTGGCATATTGAATTTGGGTGTTTAATTCCCCAAAGGTTGTCCTAAGCTGGCCCTTGACGTAAGATGGCAGTCATATAATGTTCATTCTCTAGGACAATAATTCTATATAGTAGTCAAACCCTTACCAGGTGATCAGTTCTTTCTCTGAAATTGGTCAGCCAAGATGTGTTTGCAGAGGTCCAAGACAGAGCATAGATTTGGATCCTTTTCTGATCTGACTGTAATTGATCATATGAAGATCTATATGTACCATTACCCAAAGCCACATGCAGCCATACTTTTGGGACAAATAAAACCTTACTTTATGCCATTAATCTTAAAGATACTCATACAGATTAGCCTTATACTTTTTATGGCAATAATTGATGTTTGTATGAACCACCACAGACTTTTCCACCCTGTAGTTATCTGCTAGGATATTGTTTGAACTCTACATTGAGCTGACATTAAATCAAGACAGACATAGAGGCTGCCATTGCTGACCTACTCCTAATTTCATGGCTGTCCCTGTCTTCAGTAGCGATTCACTGACTGTGAACCAGTGTACAGACAAGTCAGAGTGAAGTCCAAACTCCTGATCTGCATACTTTTCAGGTCAGCCATTGAATCAGCATTACAGCTAGGCAACTAGCATTTTAAAAGTAGAGTTCAGCAATGATGGCTCCATGCAGTACACGCTTCCTCTGTGAGCCTCAGAGCTTTCAATGTCAGCACTTTTCTCATCTGTATTTAAGGGGCAACTGCTGGTACACAGTATATTTTTTTTATAAAAATACATTTGTTTTATTGCTGGGTCTATGTACATACAGTGTGTGTGTTTGTATATACAGTATATGTATGTGTGTATGTGTATGTATATGTGTGTGTGTATGTATATGTGTGTATATATGTATATATGTCCGGTGACGTCGATGTCCGATCGCCGACGGGACTCCCGGAAGCCAGCAGAGAGGGGAGTGTTCTCATTAGCAATCAAAATAATTTTAATCGATTAAAAAGTTTTTAACGATTAATCGAGAAATTAATCTTTAATTTTCACAGCCCTAATATATATCTATATAGATATATAGATCTATATAGATATATAGTAAA